CTGAAATTATACTGATTAAACCCCACCTGTCGGCACTGACCTAGGGGCTGGGCTGTCCTGTGCTCTCTTTCCACCGCACCCTGCTGTTTACTGCGGAGATGAGAGCCAGACGACTCTAAGAGAATCCGGGCCGACTCCCTTGTTTTACAGATGGGAAAACTGAGGCTGCTGCAGCAGATCTTGAGCTCGAACCAGGCCTCCCGACTCCCAGATGGCTCGGGCTGTGAGGAGGGGCAGGGGACCAGGTACTCACGGCCCCGACTCCACTTGGATGGAGCCCACCTTCTCCAGCAGGCTGTCAGTCAGGCTGGGGCACTCGGTCGAGAGCTCGCACCGCTTACCCTGGAAGTTCTCCATTTCATACACGGTCACCTGGAAGAGCAGCGTCCTGCATGTCACAGGCGGGGTCCCAGTCCCAGCCTCAGCCCCTGCCCTGCATGGTCCCCTGTGGGGCAAGGAGGGACGTACAATCACCAGCTCCAATAGCTCAGCCTTGTACCAGGCTGGAGCCAGCACCTCCACGGGCTTGCACTGCCCCCTGGTGGTCATGGAGGGGACTGCCGCAAGGAACCTTAAACCTGGGATTGTCCCTCTGGAGGAGCCAGTCTGGAACTTAATAGAGTGAAATGACTCCAGGAAGGGACAGGAGGGAAATGAAGCCACTTGCAACCAGGAGGGAATGTAGACCCTATCCTAAACTTTGCAATCGAGGCCAGAAATCTATGTTTTCCTTAATGTGAAATATCCCCTTTTTATGAAGCCTGTGCGGGTTGGACGAATCATCAGCTTGCAACCTCTGGGATGGCCTCCGCCTGCCCCAGGCCTGAGGTGGGGGTGGGGTGGGAGGCGGGGCTGCAAAGGCAAGGGGAGGTGCTGCCTGTCCCTGCCTGGAAGCACAGACTGTCTCTGCAGGAGGCCCTCGAGGGATGGACGTCTGCTCAGAAAGGGTAGGTCACTTGTCCCGGGTTTGTTAAGTCAGCAGTTCCTTTTGCCCCTGCACTGGAGTGGGCGGGGCAAGGCCCACAGACGCCAACAGCAGCAGCACCCACCTTCCCGCTGGGCAGCTGCCTCTGGCAATGTGCCAAGGCCCCGAGAGGCCGTTAGATGACACGGTGCCCCCTCCCCTGCGGGGGGGGGAACTGGGGGCCTACAGGACAAGGCTAGCTGACATCGCCCGTGGGTCATCCCAGAGCCAGGTGGGCCTGTCTGCGGCTCTTCTCCTGCCGCCTCCCCTACTCCGGTGAAAGCCACCAGCACGTCCTCAGGAATGCTGCTGTCCCCAGGTATCTCCGGAATCAGCCCATCCTTGGGCAGTCTGGGATTAGAGCCCCCAGGGACCACTTGGAGAGGGCAGAGCTGACCAGCCCCACCCCCAGTGGCTGGCATTGGCGATGGCACTTGCACTGAGCTCGCACGTCAGCTCTGGGGGCTGAGGAGCACGGGCATTGCTCCCGAGTTAAAGGTGGGGCGGTGGAGGCCCGGAGAGGGCTGGGGATGGGACCGGCACCTGCAGAGAGTCAGTGCGGGGACCCCTGAAGCCACCGAGCCTCTGCGCCCGGGGAGGGTGTGTGTGCCCAGGCGCAGTGAAGTCACAAAGCAAGTTCATGGCCGAGAGGTGAGGTGTCCTCCTGGCCCTGTTGGCTCCTTTCTGGAGTGAAGCTGACCCCGAGGTCTAGGAGTGGCCCTGGGCCCAGAGCCCCCTGGCCCTTCCTTACCTTGTAGCTGCCCCCAAGGCCTCCATGGCTCTTGCCAGTGGCAGCCCGCTCCGGCGCTCCGTGCTGCTCTGCCATCTCCCCGGAGACCCCTCTGGCTTCAACCAAAGGAGAAGAGTCACCAGGTCCTTTGGAGGATGAGCTACAGAACCTTGCTGCCTATGGGATGTGGTCATTGCTCACAGCCTACATTCGGTCTTTCAGTCATTCAACAAACATCCACTGAGCACTGCCCACGAGCCCACCATGGGTCAGTAGGACCAGGATTGCCATTTTGCAGAGGGCAACCCCGAATCCCAGCTAGGTGAGGTCACTCCCCTGAGGCTGGGGTTGGACCTGGCTCTGAAGCTCATGCTCTTCGCCCATACCCAACCACTCCCACAAACCAGGGTTTTGGGGCTCTGTGTAGACATTGCCTCCAGGCCTGGTCAGAGGGCAGGCCTCAGGGGTTCCTCTGCAGGAAGCTCTCCCACCCCCGCCCCCCAGGCTGTAGTCCTTTGTCCACTCATTGCTCGGTTCACCAGCTTCCTCGAGCACCTGCTCAGGGCCTGGCCCTGGGCTGGGGGACTGGGAAGAACAGGAGGCCACAGAGTGGTGGGAGAGGGACAGACAGACAGACATCCTGAGACAGCGTGATGTGGAACCAGGCCCCAGGACACCTGCTCCAGCCCAGGTTCCATCCATTCACTCATTCATTCTGCGAGTACTTCCAGTGCAAGAAACACACATGGCTCCCCTCACCCCCACGGGGACTGGAACACACAACTCAGGCCGGCCACAGTCACGCGAGCGGGTTCTCCTGACTGTCTCACACACACACAGAGACACACGGGACTGTGCTCCGGTTTATCAGCACAGGCACCTGCACGCACACGCAGGCTCCCACGGGCTTCCACGGTCACCGTGCAGTCACTTCTCGACCGCCGCAGGACGCTGCCTCTGTCCGTCTGTGTGTCTCTGACACACACACACACACACACACGCCCATCTCAGACACCTACAGCGCCCCACAGGCACCCTGCACCCAGCCGCACACAGCCGTGTGGCCCATACACTCAGGACACAGGCCTGGTCCTGCTCGGGGGAGACTCCCAGAAGACATGGCAGCCCCCAAACGTGCCCACTGGCCTCCCTCATCTTTGCAGGCTCCCCGTTCCAAGCACACGCCCAGGGGCTTAGCCCTGGCCGCTGCCCTCTGTCGACAGCAGGGCTCGGTGGCTGTCTCAGGTCCTCCCTCTCAGCTCCCACCAGGTGGGTCCCCAGTTGGGGCAGAGGCCAGCTCTGCACACCTCAGGAGGCCACCCCAGGCCTGGGCCTGCTGGGGCCGCTCTTGCCTCCCCACCCCGCCCCACTGCCCCAGAACGAACCTGTCACCGCTGCCCGGGAAGAACAGAGAAGCCAGCGCCGCCCGCAGACGATCCCCCTTTGCGAGGAGCGTCCTATTTATGGGCGATTTCCGACAGCCCAGCATGTCCCGGCCTGCTGAGGCAGCGGCCTGTCCACCCGATTCCACTCGGGCTGTTTCACTCCAATGACGGGCCCGGGGAGGCCCCAGGGCCTGTGTGCCCTCAGCCACGGCCTCTGACCACGGCTGGGGGTGGACAGACCTTACCAGCCTTGTGGGGAGCCCAGTGGCACCAGGAGCAGGCATGCGGGGGAGTGGGGGGCGGGAAATTCTCCAGTGACCACCCCCACCCCTTGCTTTGGCCTCTTGGTGCGACCATCTTCCTGCTGAGATGCCTGGCGCCCTTGGAAAGGCTCCGGTTCTTGGAGGGAGGGACCCCAAACCCCTCAATTCACCCATGTGCCCTGTGGCCTAAATTGTAAGTCAAGTTCGCCTTAAACAGAACTTCCAAAGTGGGTCTAACTCCACCCAACCACTTCCGTGGGATGCTGTACCAGACCCACCTGAGATGGGTTTTGTGCCTATAAAAGGCATCTATAAAGGACCGCTACCGTTTATTGAAGACCTACTGGGTATTGGCCCCTGGGCCAGCTTCTCAAGCATTGTGTTTACGCCCCGCCCAGCCCTCTCCGGGGGGAGGGATCACGATCCTAGGTCACAGGCGGTTCGGAAGCTGCTTTCGGAGAGGTGAAGCCACTTCCCCCGGGCGCATGGCAGCGAGGAGGAGGAGGAGGAGGAGGGGCCGGGCCAGGCTGCTCCGGTGATCACGACTGCCCCCGCATTTACGGCCGAGGAAGTAGAGCCGTGCCTTTAAGTCTCGAGCAGCGCTGGCTAGCCCAGGACAGGTGTTCACTGTGGTTAATGCGTGAGCACACTGAGGGACAGGGATTTCTTCTGTTGCTGTTTTTGGCGAAAATTCTCAACTCTGTGTAAAACCCGTCACCCCACACCTTCGAGATGTTGCTAGCACACTGGGTGACAGGTGGGCTGAGGGGACAGGTGGGTCTGTGTGGTCCTGGGTGAGTCACAGAGGGCTCGGACCACGGACAGTCACCTCTTCGGGAAATGGAGCCGTCTGTCTACTCGGGTCATGGACGGGTCACGAAAGCAAAGCTCTCTCAGCACAGCTGATCGCTTTCCTGCTTTTGTTCACGGAGCATCTGCCTGTCACGGGCAGTTCGGGCTGAGGGGGGCCTTCCTGGGGGGCAGGTGTGTCACGGGGAGCAGGGTTGGCTTTGACCCCTTACCTTGGGAGGCAGCCACCACCTGCTGTGGATAGAAAGGGGGAGACAGAGATGGGGACAGCCTACGTGAGAACGTGACTCCCTCCCTTCAGATCCTCTAGGATCTTGAGGACCTACTGTGTGCCTAGCACTGCCATGTGCCCCATTTCCCTCACCCAGGGTTCCCAGCCTCGGCACTGTTCCCCCGGGGCCAGCTCGCCCTGTGCACTGTGGGATGTTGAACAACATTCCTGGCCCCCCACCGACGAGATGCTGTAGCAGCTCCTTGCCCTCCTTGTGACAACAAAAAAGTGTCTCCTGTCATTGCCCAGTGTCGTCTGGGGAGCACCATCAACCCCTGAGAACCACTGTCTAGAAGTTTTGCCCACCGGTGTCACTGTCCCACCCCCATTTCAGAGAACCCATGCTCAGGGAGACCCCACGGCCAGGACGTGATTGCATCAGGGCTCCACCCCACGCTGAGTGGGAAGTTGGCTCTGTGCTCACGGCCCCCTCCCGGGACCCCAGCCACCCGCCCCCCCGCCCCCCCGGCTGCCTGGCGCCCAGCTCAGCCCAGCGCAGAGGCTGACTCGGCGGGTGCCGGCGGCTTGCACGAGAGAGCCCCTTCGCTTGCACGCCGACACACCAGCGTCTCCAACGCAACTTGCATCAAAGCTTTATTTGCTATTTCCATAGTGCGAACGCAACATCTCTGTACATGCAGAGGTCATCCGGTTTCATGGCAGTCGACGAGGTCCCCAACTGCTCTTGACGTGCGTGTGAAACCTCTTTGCAGTTACAAAATATAAAAGCACTTGTCAACGTCCAATACTCGGTGAGGTCCAGGGAGCCCCGAGGTTTCAGCGTTAAAAATATAGGCATTTTTCTAGATGGAGTCTCAGTCCCGTGGTGCGAGGTTCTCTCTGGGGTTGGATAAAGCGCCTCTGGCCCGCCCTTCGCTCCGAACTGCTGGGGCTTGGGAACTCACAGCGGGCAGCTGCTGGAGCTCCAGCAGGTGGTGGGCTGAACTTCCCCGCACGCGGCCTCTGGTTCCCTCTCGGTCGTGATTCCACGTCCGATGAAGGGACGTGGGAGGAAGACTAGGAAAATACATAGTATATGCAGAGATATTCCCACTCCCCCCGCGTCTTACAAAGCATTTTGGAAATCAAAATCATGTGGGAGGCGCACGACTTGCAGAATATTGGTGTGATTCAAGGAACAGCACAGTACAAAATACCTTCCGTAACACAGTACATGACTCCCGGGAGCCCCCTAGTTACAGGGTCTGTAAGGCCGTGCGGAGTAAGGTCATCAGAAAGCTGAAATTCTTGGGCGGTGGCGTAATAGTTTTGAGTGGGTGTGGCGCCCCCAGAGACGCTCAGAAAAGAGCCGGTCTTACTCGGGGAAGATACCGAGGCACCAGCTACAAGGGCAGCTACTGCAGGAGAGCCTGGGGGGGTGGGGGGAGGGGCTCAGAGAATACCCTGCCAGAGCCCTCAGGCTGACTTTCCAGCACCTGGCTTTTTGTCCCACTCCCTGCAGGGACCAACCCCAGCAAAAGACAGACACCTCAAGAGGGGTGGAGTGGGGGGCAAAGGGAGAGACAGGCACACACAGACTGGCTGAGGGCGTGCGCACTCATTCCAAAGGGCTCCTTCCCCCGAACCTCGCTGGCCGGGATCCCAACAAGGAGGCTCCTAGCAGCTTCTAGCATGGAGTTCGGGATGCGCAGCTCCCTACGGCAGGGGAGCCCCAGGCAGAGCCCCGGCCAGGGGTCCAGCGGGTCCCGCCCACGTCACGTGGCTCCTTCTACCTGGTTGTTGTCCCTCCGACCCCTGGCACTGTGATGCCCCTGGGTGTTTGCTTCCCCGATGTAACACATGGGGGAGGAAGAAAGGCACAATCAGAGGGACGGAGGTTCCTCCGTTACCGGTGACTTGCCACAGCTTCAGTGCGGGGGGGGGGGGGGGCAGCATTCCCCACTAGAGAGTGCTTTTCTCTCGCCTCCCCATCTCCCCTCAGGCTCACCCCAACATGCTAGTTCATACAAATTCAGTGGTCATCTAGCTGCCTGTATCAGGGGACAGGGCTTTGTGGGAGGAGCCACAGGGACTGACGGGGAGACGCAGAGACTGGAGAGGGCGGGGCAGGCTCGAGGGCCCTCTCCTTGGGTGGACGCTGTCTTCCCCCAGGGCCGGAGACCCCGAAGGGAGCGTTTGGTGTGGGTGCCCCGAGTGCACACCTGTGGACTCTGGGCTTACACCCATTCTGTTCTCCCTCCTTAGCGGTGCCTAGAGCTGGCCACACTTCCCGGGATGCACGAGAGAGAATGCACTTGTCCGACAGCACGTGACCTGGCTCGTCCCCCTGGACAACATCCCCACCCGATTGTCTCTCCCCCAAGTCCTGGACAACCCGAGGCTGCCAGGTCGCCGTCCAAACACCGGGGGCCTGTCCCGCCCCAGAGGTTCCCCGGCGGCACCGAGCAGTTCTCCGCAACACTGCTCTCCGGGGCCTCGCCGGGGGACTTCACGGCCGGAGGCCTCTGTTTCCCTGGGCAAGAGACCATGGAGGGGATCTGCTGGAGGGGAGAAGACACAGGCTTATAAGATCTTCTGTCAAAATACGGACGTGCCAAGGGTGTGAGTGAGTGGGCGGAGGGAGGGGGAGAGAGACAGGGAGAATGGGGGGGCGGCGGGCAGAGATTATACACCCATCGCCATGTGCTTCCTGCGTAAGACCCTCATTCGAGGAGAGCCACGGGCCCAGAGGAGGAAGGTCAGAGAGCAGGGGACTGGATTGCATACAGAGGATTAAGGCATATTAAGTTCGTTGAAGAGGAGACAGGTTTCCAAAGATGACTCCAGGCTAACTCGAGAAACCAGCATACAAACCCGTGCTTTGCCCCGAAGAGCTCACCCAGTTTCAGAAAAGGGGAGAAGCCCAGGCCCCCCCGCCCCCCAGCTCTCTGCAGAGGCTCCGGGCACCATCCCTCCTGACCTTGCCGCACGGGGCTGGCGGGGAGCCCGCAGGGGGAGGGCCGCTGTTGCCCGCCGTGGCCATCTGCCCTGCGGTGGGGAGGCGAGGCTGCCGGAGCTGAAGGAGAGCGAGGAGGGTGTTCGGGGCCTGCTCTAGTCGGTGGAAAGGGGCGGACTTCGTGTGACTTAATCTCCAAAAAATGAACTGGCTCTTAATTTCCAGCCAAGGTGTGCGTGTGTGTGTGTGTGTGTGTGTGTGTGTGTGGGGGCGGGGGGCAGGGGTGGTCAGGCAAAAGAGCTCCGGCTCAATCTCATGGCCAAGTGTCTTTCTTTTCTGCCAGCTGTGCTTGGGCTGAGACACGCCGCCGCGTGCAGAATGGAGAGCCGTGCGTGGTGAGCACCGACGCTCTCACGGAAGAGAACAGGCCATTTCCCGCTGCAGCCCGAGAAGGTGCCGAGGGGCCCTTCCCACCCCCCACCAAAAGACAACGAAAGCAGCAGCCGAGAAAGGAAGCCAGGAGCCAGCAGTGTCCTGCAGGGGACTGCGGACCCGGAAAGCCACCACGTCGACACGGTCATACAACAAGAGATAGCCCTTCAACCAACACCAACAAAAGTCAACTGAAGCAGCTCCTGGAGGAAGTGGATCCCCAAATGGCCAGAGAGGACGGACCGGCCACTTACTCAGGGAAGGGAGAGAACACAACTACGAGCGAGCGAGGCCCGACCTCCACACACGGATGCGAGGGGCTTCGGGGTGCACCAGGCTGGGCGGGCGACAGGGCCCCACCAGTGCCCATCAGGAAGCGGCCAGAGCTCAGCCCGCAGGACTCGGGGAGGACGGCTCCCGTCCCTGTCCATGGTGCTGGCGCGCAGCCGCTCTCCAGGCAAAGGCGGGGGAGACGAGACTGCTCTCCACCCCAACCCCCGCCCTGCCCCCCCCAGAGAGGAAAGTGGTGGGGAGATGACAGACCTCGAATGGTGGGCAGATAAACAAGGACTACTGGAGAGGTGGCTGGGGAGAAGGGGAGCTTGGACACCATTTGCAAATCACGGATTTATGAAGAAGGGTCCCCACCTTTCGGAAAGTTGCAGGGGGGAGGGGCGCGCATGTGCCCCCCACTGCCACATCGAGCCAGCGCTGTGCAAGCACCCATTAGGAAACTGAGCCCCAGGGCCCCTCAGCAATCACGGGGGGCCCCACGAACTGCCCGAGCGTCCTTCTCACCGGTGGGCATCTCCCAGGTGAGGTTGGCACAAAGTTTATGGCAACTCCGGGCGTGGCAGGTGGCCAGCCGGGCACTTCTGGGATGTGTGCTGGGGCGAGGGCTTCACTGGCGGAGGAGGAGGCTGGTGCTGAGGATTTCCGAAGACGACAGAGTCGAGACGGCAAGGGGGAAGAAGGCAAGGCAAACCTCACACATGGCCACCTGGGATCTAGCACTTGCGTCCAGAGTCCCCCTGGTCTGGCGGGGAGCGGGGCTCCCCTCCAGAGAAGGGCTTTCAGCGAGACCCTGCCTTCCTTCATTGGGCCCTAAAAAGAGCACTTGGTCGGGGGGAGTCCAGCGGGGGGTTGGTAGAGGAAGCGGCGAGAAGGAACCCTCGCTCAGGCCGTGTGTTCCGAGGCCGGTGTGCAAACGCTCTCCGTGCCCGCCGCTCGGGTGGCGTCCAAACGCAGCTCTGGAGAGAAAGATGCGCAGGGTGGGAAAGGCACTGCCGTTTGGGCTGCGGTGTATGAGCCCTTGAGGTCAAGGGACAGAGGTCACTCCACAGAAGTCAGAGCGCAGAAAGAAGAGGAACCGGGAACATGTAGGCAAGCGTGACCACTGGGGTCTCTAAGACGCCGGGACGGGGGCCGGATAACCTGAGATGATCGGATGCTTCCAGCAGAGCGGTCCCATCCCTCTCCTCCCGCTCTTCACCGCGAAAACACGCACACACAGCAAACTTCAAGGGGGAGTTGGCTGATTATTGCTTTGTCACCTTCGGAAGCAAACAGATGACACACGGTGCGGAGGGCCACCACGCATGGGGGCCCCCCGGAAGGCTAACCAGAAGGATGGGCACGTTGAAACATCGGGGCTGCTGATCCTTCGAGAGAGAGATGGGACTGGCCGAAAACATCATGGGAGCCACCCCCGGCCCAGGGACCTGCCCTGCACACAATTCAAGCAGGAGACCAAAGTCCTCCAGAACAAGACCTGCCCGGGGGCGGGGGGAGGAGGTGCTTTCATGATTCAGGTGTTCTCCGGAGCCCTGGGAGACGATCCAGCCCGATACCCACACCCCTGGAGCTGCTGCTGAAGTGGGCAGAAACGCACGGTTTCTACATACCCCCCGCCGCCCCCCCCCCCACACAACCACCATCATGGGTGTCTCTGGGTGGCCTGGCCTCTCTCCCAGGCCGACGTGCTGTCCAGGGAGACGAGTGAGCACTGAGGAGGGCGGGCCTTTCCGCCCCGGTCGGTGGGCGGGGGGGGGGGAGGGCGGGGGGGGGTGCGCCTGAGGATTGGTGCGGTGCGGGGCCCTGGACCGCCGGAAGGAGGGGTCCCAGCAGGGAACCGTTGTGCAGGCAGGAACGGCAGCAGCGTGGCCTCGTCTCGGGGGCTGTGACAGTTAAGGCTTCTGTTCATGACATGTGGCAGTGACCCTGTCTGGACAGGAAGGGAGAGTCCTGTCAGCAGGGGACGGGGGGGGGGGGGTGCCCGTTTCGCTCTCCCACCGAGCCTCTGAACCTTTCCTGGCATTCCCCGAGCCGGCCGCCCACTGGCCGCGGGCCAGGAGGGACAACGTGGGCTTTCTGTGGCCGCTGGCTTGTTTCCTGCGGGGGGTGGGGGCGTGGAAGGGGGCGGGCGGCTGGAGGGCGTGGAATGAATGTGAATCTGGAGACTGGTCAGGGTTCCGGCCTCAGTGTCCTCAAATGGGTTCCTGGAGGCTGGACCGAGGTGTCACGCACACACGGCCCTAAACACGGGGTAAGCACAGGCTCTGACCCCTTGCCCGGGACCGCTCAGCACGGGTTTACCGCAGGAGTCGGAGCTGTTTTGGAGCTGGTGACACAGAAATACGCACGCCTGTACGCAGATGAGTGAGTGTCACGTAACATACTTGACGCCCCCGTGATCGAGCACAGGACGTGCCTGCAGTGCAACGCACGCATGTTCCCACCAAGTGGGGAAAACGGTGTAAACGGCACGGGACCCACGCGGGCCAGGTTCTGTCGCTGCGTGGGAGAGGGAACGCCCCACTGCCTGTCTGGTTCCAGGTTTGCGGGCAAGGGGTGGTGGTCTCCGGCGCAGCTCCCATCGGAGCTGGTGTTCACGGAGTGCGGCCTGGGTGCCCCCCGGCCCAGGCCTTCCAGGAAGGACGTGCGGTGCCGCCGCAGCGAGCCCCCGGGACCACCTGGCCCCTGGGGGCCGTCACCCCGCTCCACAGACAGGGAAGCTGGAGGGCAAGAGGCTCGGTGGTCCGGGCCCTACGCCAGGGCGTGTCTGATCATTGCCTTTTTCAATCTTTTTTTCCCAAATCATCTTCCAGTTACGCAGGTAGAATATAAACGCAGAGGCTGGGCACCTCGCAGACGAGGCTGATCGTGGACCTGTTGTCCTCTCGCTCCATAAAAGTGGACAGAGACGCCGTGAGCAGGGCCCCAGCTGCCTGGCCCCTCGCCCCTGCCACCCAGGCGGCCCAGTGGTGTGTTCGTGCCTAAGAGGGAACGCGCTGTTGCCAAGCTCTGTGCGGGAACCCAGAACAGCCGGGCCCGCGGATTCCTCCCCTGTCCTAGGGTTCGCCGTCCCAGGTCTCTGACCCTCGGCCCTCCGCCCGCCTTCGCAGACTCCTCGAACTGAACTGCAGGCCCTGCCCGGTCTCCCCACCAGGGCCCCTCGTACCTGGTCAGGCCTGGTTCTCATACAGGCTTTGCCTCTTCTTAGATTTCAGCTCCTTTAGCCACTGGGGTGAGGGCTCTTCGGACCTGAAACAGCATGGCCAGGGAGGGTCAAGTGCAAGCGAGGCCGGGCGCACCTTGCAGGCAGGGCGGGGGGTGGCCGGCTCTCCACCTGCCGCCGAGCCAAGGGGGACGCTGAGCAGGGCGCTCGCCGATGCCAGCCCCGCCCATGCCGGCGTGACTGACAAGCAAGCAGCAGCCATTGGTCCAAGCCCCCACCAGTGGGATGTTAAACAAACCCTGGCACGTCCACTCGATGACATAATCTGTGGCTATAAAGTGACGCTCACATGAAATTATTTCTGTCCATCCGACCGTCTGCCACCCGAGCATCCTGCCACCCCTCCATCTCTCCACCCACGCGAGTGCCTGCAGCGGGGAACGTGTGTGTCGGCCGGGCCGGGTGTGGAGTCCAGGTACATGGTCAGGTGTCCCTCTAGGTGTGTCTGTGCAGCTGTCTTTGTTTCAGACGAGATCAGCATTTAAATAGGTGGACTCTGAGTCCAGCAGATGACCCTCCGCAGCACGGGGGGCCTTATCCAATGGGATGAAGCTGTAACAAAGACTGACCTCCCCGAAGAGGGGGGTGTCCGGCCAGCAGACCGACTCCGAGACCTGAACTGCGACGTCAGATCTTCCTGGGTCTGCATCCAGCCTGTGGCCTGCCCTACACGCCTGGGACCTGCCAGCCTCCAACACCCCGAGAGACGATGCCTTAATACAAATCTCTCTCTTTCCCCTCACCCCCAAGAAGCACACCCCGAACCTGGGAGCGGAAGGGCCCTTGTCCCCAAGACCCCTCACCTCTCGTCCTTCTCGACGCTGGTGGGCAGCACCCGACTGCCCAGCTGGAAGGGGGACTTGGGGGTCTTGGGCTGCGGGGCCCAGCCGGGGGACTCGCCGGGACTGTCCGCCTCTGGCCTCCTGTGCAGCTGAGCCTGGGGAGGGGAGAGAGCCGAGTCTGTGACCACCTGTGAGGTGGGGAAGGGCCCCGTCCGGTGACACTGTCACTGCATGGTGACATGCGGTCTCCACGGGCAGGAAACACAGGGGTGGGGGCGGGGGCGATGCCACCTGACCTGGGAGGGTCAGAAAAACCACAGGTCAGCCCTGCTGCCCACGCACCCAGGACCGTGAGAACGGTCCCATGCTCACGGTGAATGGTCAGCCCCTTTCCAGAAGAGGGCGCCAGAGCTCAGCTAGGAGGCCTGACTGAGCAGCAGGCTTGGGGACGGAGAAACACAGGGTCGAGGGTGAGAGGCACAGAAGTCCGGCTCCCAGCCCTGCCCCACGGCCGGGGTCCTGGGTTTGATAACACACCGTGGTCATGTGCAGTGTCAGCACGGGGAGAAGCTGGGTGAGGGGGTCTGGCCTAGTTTCCCAACTGCTTGTGAGTCCAACTATTTCAAAAGTGAGGGCGGGAGGCACTGGGGGCGTGTGGCCGGTACCTTCAGCGCGGCCGGGTCAACGCCTGGAAACACCGGCATCCTCTGGGGGTGGCTGACGGGTGTCCTCTCGGTCCTGGGTGGCTGCTCCTCGTCGTCGGACTCGTCTCTCCTGGGGGATTTCTCTTCTGTTGCACAGAAAAGGGCAGTGACGTCACTGGCAGCCACCAGGCATGGCGCTGTGGGGCCCAGATCCTCTGCGCATGGACCCCCATGCAGTCCTCACAGTGGCCCTGATGGGGGAGGTATTGCTGGACCACTCTACAGGCGAGGACAGACTCGGGGGCTTGCTCTCTTCGGCACAGCTCCTGCCGAAAGGTGGCGGCAGAACAGGGACAAGCGTCCTGCTGCCGGGTCTGCGCACAGGCAGCCTGGGCTCCCGGCTCGTCCCCCGTCGGGGAAGTGGAAGGGCCTCTCTGGCAGAGGCAGGGAAGGAGACAGAAGCGCCTTCAGTGGCTGGCGCACGGGGCCAAGCCCTCGGAGAGAGTTGGGGGTGGGGTTCTGCTGTCTGTGGAGGGGCTGCCCGGAGTCGGACTGGGAAGCCACCTGCCTGCACCCCGAGGCCCCCTTTCCGGGACCGAACCCCACTGTCACGCTCCACCTTGCAGGCGACACTTCTGGGAGACAGACAGCAGGTCCCCGCTCCTGCAGGAGCGAGGGTGAGGAGTCCCATCCTCCTGGGGACAGGACATGGGACTGGGCACAGTGAGGAGCAGGGGCAGGGGGGCGGGGCCCAGTGTTCCGGGGCCCCAGGCCACGCACCAGCAGGCTGCTGCCGTGTTCTAGCGGTGGGGGGCATGGGGCAGGGGGGCGGTAATTTTATACTTTCAGGGGTGATTGTGTACGTCTGTCACCACTTTGGCTTTTACTTGCTCCAGGCACCTCCATGCAATTTGGCTCAGAAAACCAGGACAGTGTGCAGAGAGAGGTCTTACTCAAGGCATTTAAACATTTCCTTGAGTGACAGACCTGAGGCAGGAAAGGGAGAGAGAACTCTCCCAGCATTTAGGTGTCCGGTCAAGGCCACGCCCCTCAGAAGCCACGCCCCTCATTCGGCTCTGAGCCTGTGCACCCCAAGTAAGCAAAGTCCCGGCAGCAGCTTTCGGGGGACTACAGGCTATATGTGGAGGGGAGCATCACCTGCTATGGCTTCCATTACAAGGTAAGATTTCGTTGCTTAAAACTCTTCCATGAATCTCCATCTACAGATAATGTCTAACTCCTAGGCAAGGAACCATGGCTTCCCACGACCTGGCCCCGCCTACTTTCCCAGCGCAGCTCCTGCCAGAACCGCGGAGAGAGGCCCGAACCCGGAGAGAGCCCGTACCACACACACAGAATGTTCTTTCCACACCTCTGCCCTTCAATCTGTTAATATTCTGTCGGGACTACCCTTCCCTGGCTAACTTCTACCTGCCCTTTAAACTCAGCTCAAGATCTGATACAAAAGGCAGCCAAAGAAATCCTTAGAGGAAAATGTGTAGCCTTAAATAATTCATTAGAAAGCAAACAAGACGAATAATACAGAAGCGGATCTTTCAACTTGAGAGTCTAAAAAAAGACCCGAGAACAAACCTGAATGGCACACAGGATGGACTTAGTAAGGGTAAGAGCAGAAACCAGGAAACCCTATTAAGTTGTGGCTTTGTCCTTTGCAAACTGCAGAGCTCCAATTAGTGTATCATTCCTCAAAAAAATTTTTTACTTAGTTGCTAATAAGCTGTGCAGAATAAGAGATCACAGTTTCCTGGGTAATTACGTTCTAATGCCCTACAGCCCTCAGGTCAGAAAGGTCTTTCCAGTGCTTACCCCCGCCCCCCTTCTTGCTGCTGACGATGGCCCCGTGGAGGCCCCTGAGGGGTGTACCTGTCGAGTCCTTGAACATCCACGCGCTGTCAGCCTCCTCTTCCAGCGGAGACCTGCTCTCTGACTCGCTGAGCCGGCTGCGCCGGAGCGAGTGGGAGATGGGAGCCCGGCGGCGGCTTCTCTTGCTGAGCTGCACCCGGGTCTTGAGGGCACTTGAGTCTAGGACTGAGGTTTGCTTTGGGAGCAGCAGGGAGGAAGAGGGAAAAAAGTGAGGGACCACTCGCTGAGGACACCACTTGAGAGAGACAGAGGCATGGGTAGCTGCCCTGACGCACGGGATCCTATTTAGGTGGCACGTGGGCCAGCATTTCCGCATTTTAATAGTGACCTGACACCCCCAGCTGAACTCTCTCCATGAAACACACCACGGAGGGTGGAGGGTGGTTATAGGAATCGAATGAAGCCCTGTGCCTGGCACGCAGTGGGCACACGATGCGAATGCCTTTCCCTCCTGGTGGCATCACACGAGCCCATAAGCCAGAGCAACGCTCAACCCATGGCAGGGGCTCCCCGGACCTCTGTTGGGTGGATAACTGAACACAGCACCTGATGCAATCTCATCACCCATGCCATGTCTGTGTGTATACAGTGGGGCACCCCACGGAGGATGAACTCGTGTCTTCCCTCACCTCCGTCCTTACTCAGGGGTGCCAGCGAGATGCCCTGACCGTACTTAGGAAGGGGAGTCCCTTGGGGGCCCTGGGGGAAGCCCTGCTCCCAAAGCAGTGGTGGTCTTTCTCTGGGGGGAATCCGGGTGGCCGCCCCCGAGAGTGTGGGCTTGAGGCTTTGCCACCAGGAGGGCAGGTCCCTTTAGCTTCTGTGGCTGAAGGGGGATGCACCTTCAGGAGGGTGGGGGGCAGCCCTCTCGTCAGGGAAGGAGGGTAATGGGACCTCCGTGTCTCAATGACTGACAAGGGAAACCTGCCTGGCCCTTGCAGGTGGGGCTCCTCGGTGGGGGGAGGGGAGGGAAGAGGACTCGTGAGGGTCTGGAAGGGGCTGGCAAGGGAGGCAGTGGGGCCTGGAGGGTGCCTCTGCTGGGAACCTGGCAAAGCGGAGTCCTCAGGGCTGTCCCTGGGGACCGCACAAGGGGTACACACCCCTGGAGGGTCTCCCCTTCTTAGGACCACTACCTCCCATTTTCAGAGGGGCCTGGGTGCCCTGGTGCTGGGGGCACCTCTCACTAAGCAAGACCACTATGAGAGCACCTGGCAGGAGTGGGGTCGAACTTCCTGCTCACGTAACAGTCGTGGGCTGGAACCAGGTTAAACTTGAACCCACGCAGTTGTATTTGAGTCTGCAGAGCCGGCTGTGCTGGTTGGAAGTGGGTGAGGAGGCCGAGGCTCAGGGATGTGAAAGCATTTGCCCCGGGACACACAGCAGGTGTGTGACAGGTGCAAATCACAAGCAGACAACAGTCCCACCTCAGACTGTGCCCTCTGCACCCACTGGAGGGCGCCTGGCACACACATGCTGCCCCAGAAAGGGGCGGTGCACCAGGAGGTGGCGGTGCACCAGGAGGTGGCGGTGCACCAGGAGGTGCCGGAGCACCCCTCTAGGAGGAAACGACCATCTCCAGCACAGGCTCCCGGTGGGAACGTACATCGATGAAGGAGAAGTCGTCCACGGTCCTCGCCGAGCCGGTGTCCGGAGGGGGCAGCCCGTCTGTCCCATCGGTGGACTCCAGGTCGGTGCTGGAGCGGTCCACGCTGGTGCTCCGCTGGTCCCGGGAGCAGTCCTGCTGGTCCCCGGTGGAGGTGGCCTCCGTGTGGGAGGACAGCGAGGACAAGCGGCTGCTGGAGGGCTGCTTCCGCGCCGACGCGGCACTGCTGTCTGGGGACGGGGACTCGGGAGCCACGCTAGGAGGAGGGAAGGGAGGGAGGGCGACCGGGTCAGGCGGGCTGTTTCGGAGACTGGACTATCGAGTGCAGGAGGCGGCGGAAGGAGACGCGGGCGCGGGCTGCGCTCTACACTCCGCGGAACGAGACCGGACCCCCAGTGGGGGAACGTTCCGCGTGCACAGCCAGGCGCTGCTCGTGTGCCCCCGGAACACCGGGAGGGGTGTGGAATGGGAGAATTAACCTCGGGAAATTAAACAGTAGCCTCGCTAAAGATGAGGAAATGGAGGAACACATGTGCGGTAGCTTTCCCACACAGGAGGGACTGACTCTAGAATCCCTGTCCTCGGCCTTCTTGTCTTTCTGGAATTTCTTCCCATGACAATACACTCAAGTGCCACTTGGGTAACGGGAATCACATAAAATAGAAAACTTGTAAACAAATCAAGTCGTTACACTGAAAAGGCTCTCCCTGCGCATAAAAAAGACACCCACGTCAAGAGCACAGGAGAGCCTTACCCTGAGGAAGGGTGTGTGGGCGTACCAGCCACTGCCTCCCTCCTGGGAGGGCCTATCCTGCAAGACACCTCCACCCCGCTGCACCCTTAAGCAGAACCTTCAACCCGGGGGTGCTGGTGCTTTTGTCAGCTCTGGGATGATCGTATCACTGGAAACAGGCAGGGCTTTCCTGCACGGGGTGGGATTGAGCCAAATCCACAAAAAAAGAAGAAATACCATCGAGGTGGCAGCAGATGGCGCTGCTACCTAGGGCTGGGAGCACAGCGGCTCCCTGGATGGTCAGGCAGGGGGCGCTGCAGTGCCTCTGGGAGACTGGAGGGGGTGCCTTCCGCCCCCACATCCCTAGTAAGGGTTGGGGGATTGGAGACCCAGGGAGAGAACAGGGCGGACTATCCTGCAGCCAGCGAGCGTGGAGCTGGGATTCCATACAGGCCTGCCCCCTGAACCCGGGCTGCCCTCGAGAGCCCTACCAGCCGAGCCGTTAACAGCGGCAACACTGAAGGCAGGCACGGCCTATACGGCCACGTGTCCCACCCACCCCCCGACACTGAACAAAGTCTAGAAAGACAAAAACCATTAATGAAGGTTATGTCTGTGTGCTGAGATGACTGGTGGGTTTCATTTCCTTTATGGTATTTTTAATGTGGTAACACACACATAACGTGAAATTTACCATTAGCGGGAGGGCGCATCTTGACAACGCTGCGCGCCCATCTCCACGTGGGTCTAGAGCGCCTTCGCCACCCCGGAAGGAACCCCGGCGCCTGCTCAGCGGTCGCTCCCCACTCGCCCTGCGCTCCGGCCCCTGGTGACCACTAACCTGCTTTCTGTCTCTGTGGGTGTGCCTATGCTGCGTATTTCACATATCACTCAGTATTATTTTTTAATACTTTCTCAATTTCCTCTTTACAACAAGAATGGTTTGCTCTTACAATTACGGACAAAGTAAGCTCCAGGAATACAGAACACTGACCGCCAACAAGATGCCCCGACCGGCAGCCAGGAGCCACGCCCACCCCGCCTACCTCTCCACGCTCTGGTGCTGGTCTGTCCACGTCCCATACTGGCTGTCGGCTTCCTGTACGAGGGTGTCAGTGTCCTTGGGCTCAGGGGGCCGCCTGGTGAAACACTGTTTCAGCTGATCCTAAAAGGGCAAACCAGACAAGAGGTTACTACTGCGGGGAAACTCTCAGAACCTGGTCCCAGCGGACGCAAGCAGAAATGCATCGCCCCTGCCCCCCTCAAGCTACCCCAGGTCCCAACTGCCTTAGGGGGCAGGTCCGGATGTCCCCGCTGGGCACTAGCGTGACCAACCGTCTGGGTTTGCCCACGATGTCACAGGACGCAGGCTGTCAGTGCTGAAGCTGGGCAAACTGGGGCGAAGGGGCCCCCTCCCCAGCCCCCAGCGTCCTGCTGGTCCGGCTCCCCCCCCAAGACCCTCCTCAGTGCCCAGCTCCACCTTGCACTGCAGCCAGGCCGAACCTCTCTTCACCTTCAATGCTCCCAGGACTTATCAGTCTGGCGCCCACCATGGGCACCCCACGCCGGGTTCCCACAGCTGCCACGCTTTCCCCATAACGACCAGCCAGCACGGTGTCCTTGGAGCATTTAACTTGTGCTGGGGTCCACCAAGCTGTTTACATATCGCCTTGCACCTTGCAGAACTACATGCACTTCCCTGGAAATCCCACAAGGTGGCGCTTATCACAATCCCATTTTACAGATGAGAACACTGAGGCTTAGGGGGAGAAGTGACACCCCCCCAAAGCAAACAGCCAGTAGGTGGCGAAGTGGAACTCAAACCCAGGTTGGGTGCTTGGACCCCCAAGTCCAAACTGGTAGCCCCTGGGCCCTGAGCAGCCCTTGGAGAGGGTGCCGGCTGCCACCGAAGCAGCTGCAGGGCCCAGCCCAGTGCCTGGCAGATGGCAGGGATCCCGAACATCTCCATTAAATTGAATGAACTGCCGACTCCCCAACTCATCCATGTGGGAGAAGACGGAGCACTCCAGGTAGAACCAAACGCCAGCCCCCTGGGCGGCCACCGGCACAGGGATGATTCAAACGGCCTTGGCTCCTGCGCTGTGAAGGGCGCTCCCAGAGACCAGCTTTTGAGGACCTGGGGCCAGCAGGTGAGGACCACGGAGGGAGATGGGGGCCAGGGGACGACGGCGGCCTTGCCCCCGGCCCCAGGAAGAGCAGCAGGGAGGTGCCACTTCCGTGTCCCACCTGAGGGCAGGAGGCAGGGCCTGCGTAGTCAGAGTGTTCATCCCTCCCCACCCTCCAAAGATAAACAAACAAACAAACAAAATCTTAAAAAAAAAGATAGAAAAGGTGTACACGAGGATGGGATTCAGAGCAACCCCGTCGGCCACTCCCAGCACACAGCCGCACCCAGAGGCCCGAGCTACAGCCACTGTCCGCCCAACCCGGATCCCGCTGCCTGTCGAAGCCCTTTCTGGCTCTCGGTAGCAAAATAACACGTGTTCTCTGCGAAACACCGAGGGGACATAGAAACCCCCAGGGACAACAGTTTAAAATGACCCACCGCCCAGGGAGGACATTGAGTCCAGGCTCCGGCACACAGCAGCTGTGTGACCTTGGGAAAGTTACTTAACGTCTCTGTGCCTCAGTGTCTAGACAAAGCAGATGTGAAGCCTTTGGGAGAATGTCATCTCAGTCACTACCCTTTCCCACAGACTCCCGAATTTGAAGGGATTCGGGGGTCAGGACAATCTAAGGGAGTCCACCTTACACACGAGGGTTAAGGAAGCAGGCTGCTTCTCAGCACCGCCCCCAGGCAGGGTCGCGGTCACTAGCGTGGACTGCCGGTTGGCCATGCCTCCTCGCGCTGGCAGGCCCCCGGCCGACCTCCCGGCAGCAAGGCTCGGGCTTCTCGCCCAGGGCTGCGACGCCTCCAGATCAACCACACAAAAATAAATAAATAAAAATTTAAAAAGGCCCGAAACTCTTCTAAAAACTTCCTAAAAGTCAGATTTTTAAACTCTGCTTTACAGCATGTTCTTCCAATCCAGCCTCGCCTCACGGGCCACAAGAGCCCTCCCTCTCTGCGGGCCGGCGGGTGTCCACACGGGAGCCTGAGAACATGGGGTGAACTGAACCACTGGGGGAGACACGCGTGTCCAAACTGCCCCCGTCTGGGCCGTGTGCTGGCCTCTTTCGACATGTATTTTATCAGACGTCCCCAATCTGCATTTCAGCTGTCACTGCCCCGGAGGGTCGTCACATCTGACCATTCAGGCCCACGAGGCCCTGGGAGCCCTCCCTTTCCAGGACGATGGCGACAGCTCTGCAGCACCCGGCCCAGGAGACCGGGCTACCAGACGCCGAGTCTCGACAAGTCGTAACCCGTCCCGAAATCGAAAGCTCGCATACCCTCGACTCAGCAGTTTTCGTTCCAAAGTTTATCTCAAGAAAATCATCAGACCCACTTGCCAAGACCTACAAACGTGGACACTCCCTGCAGAGTTGGTTCCCACGGCAAGACGCGGGACGTGACCGTGACCTGAAGGCCCCAGCGGTGGGCACTGGGGAGACACAGCCCAGGGACACGGCGTTCGGAGGGAGCACGGACGGTCCCTGAAAGCAATGCCGTGCACTGGCAAACGCTTTTTAAAGCGTGGTACCGAAACAGCACGCGTGTTGGGATACCAGTCTTGTAAAAGCAGACACATGGATGTACATGCGTGTCCGTAACGGAAAACCTCTGCGGAGTCCCACAACCCCTGGGCCCACAACCGCCAGTGGTGCTGTCTGTGCCGAGTGACAGGCTGTCTTTTCGTTACTGATGCTGGTTTTCCTTAGTGTCCACACTTGTGATTCTGTATCTCAAAATAACCGGACGATAAAATGAAACACAGTCCCACCCCCGATGCTCCCCTCTTGTACGTGTCAGGAATGAGGAACACACCAGAAGGGGCCCTCTCCTTGCCCGTCTGTATCACAGCCTGCGTGCTCCTCTTTAAAGGGCCAGACGGGACACACCTGGGGCTTTGGGAGCCATCTGGCCTCGGTCCCAAACACCCCACTGGGCCGTTGTTACCCAGAAAGCAGCGCGACCAGCATGTGAGTGCGTGTGGCTGTGTTCCAATAAAACTTTATGTGCAGACAGGCGGCTGGCTGCCCGTGGCCCACGGGCCGTCTGCTGACCCCTGCCCGCAGCGCTTAGACCGGCTGTCAGCGGACTTACCCACCGCCGGGTCTACAGTGACCGTGGAAGGAGTGTTTGTGGGAAGGGGACGTTTCTGAAAATAACTTCTTTGCAGCGAGTGGGCATGAACTCCTGAACCAGTGGAGAGAATGCAGCTGGCGAGGGGGCGGGGAGAGGAGAAGCTGTGACGCCTGTGTGTATTCTGGGGTGTCTGACACATGCGCCCAAGAAAGAACCCTGAGTCAGGGCAGCGCTTGGTGGCCCACAGCTGACAGGGCAGTTCGGAGCAATTCAAGATGTGCACCCCACCCCCTGCAACTCGACACCCCCCAGCTGTGCAGGGAGCTCTGAGGTCACGGGCTGGGCTGGCGTGGTCGCCCTGCTGTCTCAGTGCCGCTGGGAGTGGGGTGAGAGCGGCACCTTCCTGCGCAGTGTCGGGTCAAACCTGCAGAAGGGCTGAGTGGTAATGACAATGAAAACATCGAAAGCTAGCGCTGAGTGCTGATGCTGTGCCGTGCACTAGGCCTTCTCATGCCCTCCGCAGCCCTATGCAGTAGGACTTGGCACGAGCCCATCTTACAGGGGAGGAGACTGAGGCTCCGAGCGGCAGCCTGACATGCCCAGGGTCAGAGTTGGAAAGCAGGGGAACTGGGGTTTGAACCCAGTTGGCCTGGTGTCCAGCCCTGAGCTCCTGAAGCCGCTGCATTCTCCTGGCTCTGGCTTGATATGAAGAGCTCTGTGGGGTCCTCGATGACCATGTCACAGACAGAGAAACAGAGAGCCAGGGAGGCACAGGGGTGCCTGGCCAGGCCCAGAGTCCAGGTGCCCCGACTCCATCCCTAGGTGTGTCCGTTGATGGGGATCTCAGGCCCAGGAAGCAGAGAAGGGGCAGGCCCCCAGCTTGTTACACTCGCCCCACAAACCCCAGCCCCCATCTTCAGACGAGAAACTGCAGCCTGAAAGGCCCCAGGTCTCCTCAGCCCCTCTCCTGCCCATTGTGCTCGGGACGCTCCGCCTGGCTGACTGCTGCGCCCTCCAGTGGCCACAGGGGGCGTCAGCCCCTCCCAGAGCTTCCGGATCCCGGGCCTCGGTCGGAGCCCTGTCCCTCAGCGCCCTGACCCCGGGGAGTGGTTCTAAGTCCCTTGCATGATTCGTTGGGAGCCTGTCCCTCCCCATACACACCCTGTCCAAGAGGCGAGAGCTGAGCTTCGTCACCTCGGCACTCCCAGTGCTCGGTCACAGTACCCGACTAAGTGTCAGTACTTAGTAAGTGTAAGTAACTAAGCCTATTTACTAAGGGTAAGGGCTTAGTAAATAGGAAGAAAGGGAGGGAGGGAATGCAAGGAGAAGGAGGGGGGAGGGGAGGAGGTCAGGCCAGAAGGAAATGGACAGGGATGGGGACCAGGGCTGGGCAGACCCCTCTCCCACAGCTGCCAGCAGACACTCCCCAGTAGCCCCTCCTGTGAACTTGGGTCTCAGCTAGCGGGGCTCAGGGCCATCAGTGGGCTTCTGGGCAGCCCATAACACCACCTCAAGTCATAGCACAAGCCAGGCCTTGCCCCTGCCCTGGCCCAAAGGCAGGGGTAGGATGCTTCCCAGGGAAGATCGGGGGGGACAGTAGCCGCTAAACTCTCTCAACAGGATCTGAGAACAGTGCAGGTGTGGCCAGGTGTGGCTAAGGTGTGGCCAGGTGTGGCCGGATATGGCTGTGTGTATTGGCTTGGATAGGGGCATAGCTCAGGGTCCAGGCTGGTCACTTGGCTGGAGTGGTTGCCCACGGACTCAGGACATGCCATGGGCACCCTGAAGGAAGGTCTTGGGGTCACCTGAGATTGGCGGCAAACTTGGGGTGGAGGAAGGCCAGGCAGAGGCAAACGGAGACAGAGAGAAGCATCAAGAACCAAGACAGAGCAAGACAGGAACCGAGAGGACATGGCCAGGACCGAGACACATGCAGAGCCGGACCCAGAGAGAGA